AGAGAACTAGTCACTTATTTATGCATCCAAGATTCATGACCACAACTTAAGTATGCATCTTGTTACTTTTCCTCAGCTACCCTTGTTTCTGAAGTGTTTTCCATATCTCATTGAAAAGAAAGAAAACTGTAGATATGATTTTGAAAATTGCTGAAGCAGCATTTATTAAATCATGCACTTGGGACTTATTTCTGTTTTAAATCTGTCATTCTCTAAATTTTAATCCCACCTTTACAGGCATCACTCATTATCACCTGAAATTCAGGACCACAAGCAAGGAAGACTGTCTGAACGCATGGTTACAAGAGAATGATTTTCCTAGCAAAGACAGACATGTGAAAGCTTTCAGAACTTCTTTTCCAACTCTTGTGAGTTTTTAATGATTTGGATAGCGTGGGTAGTGGAAACAGATGCTATCGTCTCTACATTTTTGGCAGAGGATAAAGCAGCAAAGGCTAACATATTCATGCTGTTTGCAAACTGATGTATACCACAGATCATCTTTCCAAAATACATTTGGGTAGGACAGAAAATATTCAGTTCCTTACGACATAAAATTATACCATTAATGTCCAAATATATCATTACTTTTTTTTAAAAGAAAATACCACCCCCACATCCTCAATGCATAATCTTTCCTGTTCTCAAATGGGTAAAGGATACATATCTGGGCAGTCATTTTGATTCCTTCCCCTGCCTTGAAAGAAAAATCAGGCTTCCCAAATGCTTTAGGATCTTCAGATGGAAGACAATTTGTATGAGTGAATTCCATTATTTACTGCTACCACACAGCATTCAGTACATCCATAAATAAGGCTTCCTGCAGTCTGAAGACTATATTAAGAGCCAGTGCAAGCAGATGTAACTTCACTGACATGAGCAGAGCTGCACTTACTTACATCAGGCCTCAACATGATCTAAGCACAGCTGCCTACAGTTTATACATTGTCTATTCTTAGCAGAGAAACTTTTGTAACTTAGTAATTATTGTCTAGATCTGATCTGGAACTCAAGGCACACAAGCTACTCAAAGATCATAGACTCATAGAATAGACTCATAGAATGGTTAGGGTTGGAAAGGACCTTAAGATCATCTAGTTCCAACCCCTTCCATGGGCAGGGACACTCACCCAATTCCATGTCAGCTTTCCACTATCCAGGCCCTAAGGAAGGCAAAGTCTATCCCTTCCCCATGGATGAGTAATACAAAGCAATCACCCATCTTAGTTTTACCTTAAGCTTCACCTCTCCTAAAGCAGCTTGGTTTGAAGCCTTAAAAATTTAACCTTTAAAGATCACAAAGCAATAAAGCAGTTAAGTGTTAAGGAGAGCTGAAAGGGTTTAAAGCATTCTATCTTCCCATATAACACAACACATTACACCACAGCCTCTGCCACACATATGTATCCCTGTCCTTTGTGTTATCCCCTTTTAGCTAGTTGTAGGCTATAAGACTGAGATGCATCATGTAGCATATTTAATACATAGCATTTGTCATCCAATGACCTCAAAAACACTTTAGTTTCATTCCTGCAAGAGATTAAATTGCATTTTAAGTGGTGAAAGAAGACGAAGGCAATTCCAGAATACATGCCTCATGCTATCATCTGAGAACTTAATTCTGTAATTCATTTTGCACTGGCAGATTACTCTGTGTGTGTCAGCATTAGGGTCAGTAGGACTATATGGGTAAGTATGACCCAAAAAGGGAATTGGTTTCAGGATGAGATTTTCTACGCATTCCTATAGCACTGAGGCTCAAAAGAGGCACCAACTCCTATCAAGTAAAAGGCCACTCAGTTTGGACTGATGATTACTTAAAACTGACAATAAAATGCAGGATATTTGGGGTGAGAGTGGTTCACAGATAGTTAGAAAAGAAATTCTAACTCAAGATTCATTACCTCACCTTTCATCTGACCTTGATCTCCTACTGAAGAGTACTCTGGAAAGCACAGGTCCTATTGCTAGAATCAAGCTGATGTCACTGAGAACATCATCAGGGACACTGATGAGTAAATCATACTAGGGTATGTACTATGTTCAAGGCTGCATTGAACTTTACAAGAAACATGGGGGAGGAAATATTTTTCACACTGTAGGAAACAGAAGGACACTAAAAGGGAACGTTGTTATTTTCTTGTTTCTATTAGCCATGTCCAGTAATAGTTAAAAACAAGATACTTATTATCATCTCTTTTACAGTGTGGTGAAAATATTGCACTTTGTTTTGTATTTTGGCTTTTAAAAGTGACAATTTGATTTTTCTGATTTTTGTATTTTTAACAAAGTAATTACATGAGCTTTTTTATAGCATCTTTGAGAACAGTATGTTATGGGATTTTGAAAAAAAATTTCAGGCAGTTTAAAACCAGACTTGCTTCACACCAGACTAATATGTAAAACAGGTGGTGGTAGGAAAAAAAAATAAAAATCAAGTAGGCAAAACCCAAGTCTCAGTTGTATAATTTTTTTAGGTTCAAAACCACCAGAAATCTCCCCTCTTTTAAACTCTAAGGCTATTTCATATACACTATAGTGTAAGAATTGTTAGGCTAATCTATCATGGATTTAGGATTCTAGTCAGTTACAGTAAGAATCCTAAAATTCAGTTCAATGAATTTTACTAATAATTAAATAAGCTACTAAAGAAGTTAAGTACACTTAAAAACATGAACATGTCATTGTTAAAAAAATGCTTGCAGAGAATTGCCAGAAAAAGGCAATTATGTATTACAGTGAGGTGTTCAACTAAAATGGCTCAGCTTTTGGAATAAGCGTTAAAGCAATATACAATATTTCCTTGTTTTCTCTCTAATAAGTAACAGTAGTTGAACGGTCTAGAATGGTGGTAGAGTCTTCAAGCCCTCAGCTAGACCCAGTTACAGCAGTTGCTCTGACAGTGACTATGACCTGATGTGTTGTGGTCTTTAGAGAAAGCTGTTTTGGTAAGAGAACTGCTTAGAGAAGGTACGACTGCAATAGAGAAGATGGGGAAAATAAGATGAACTTTTCTTTATTACTGTGTACCATATCTAATACTTCTTATTCCACCTGTACGCTGGAGGCAATAAGCCCTCCCAGTAAACCTTTCACCTTTCACATTTTTTATTCAAAGAATGTCAAGACAGATGGCAGTAAATGCCATCTTTATTGAATTATGATCTATAGTACTTTACCAGAAATAAGCAAGTATTAATCAAAGTACAAAGGTTTGAAAAAGGTAGAGCTGTGAGAGCTTTGAGAAGGGAACAGCTTGGCAGACACACTCTCATTTTTGACAAAAATTAAAATAAAGAAACATTACAGGAGTTAGAAAACTTGCCAGATATCAAGTAGGTTTGGATGAGGCATCTTTCAGACTCCCTATAGATCTTCAGAGCATTCCATCTTTTGTTCTGTGCCATGCCTATGTGCTTCACATGACTGTTTTCCTTGGTGAAAACATTTTTTTTTTTTTTTTTTTTTTTTTACATTTTAATTTCTTTTGTTTTCATTTTACTTAGTCACCAAACCTTTTCAATTACATATGGTTCTCCTTGGATCCCTTAGTGGTCTCAGGTTTCATTTTTTGTGTGTGTCTTGGTTTGTTTTTTTTTGTTTTTTTTTAGGGGATTGGGTTGTTTTGCTTTGGGTTTTGGTTCGGGTTTTGGTTGGCTTTTTTTTTAATCTTTTTGCCTCTTCTTGTGGTCTTGCTGGCTTTTTGTCATCATAAGTTCATGCTTCTGCAATTTGTTTTGGCCAAAGGACAAAATCAACTCTAGCCTCTCAGAGCTGCTTTCTTTGCACTGCAGGTTGAAGATGGGACACTGCAGCAAACCTGCACTCATGGGCTCAGAGTAGATCCAGAAACAGTCTGCAATTTGTCCCCTGCCTAGGAGGAGTTGTGAGCTAGTAAATAATTTGGTAAACCAAAAGCATATATTAGAGTTTGAATCCCTTAGTACACTGCAGCTCTGGAAAGCTGAAGCTATTACTTCTAACAATCATTACTATTTTTCTAATTGCCAAAGGCTATTTTCTGTAATATAATAGAAATGCTGAGACAAACAGATACGGGATGGAATACACTCACATACAACCTAGTCTAGCCACGATGACCAGAAACATGCTAATGGGGTACTGCAGCCCTTTTAGCCCGTTCACCACTCCCCATAAAACCAAACATGGCAAACAGTCCCAGTTACCCCACAGCACATCTACTGTTAGGGCCACAGAAGCAAAAAGACTGACCTGGCTATAGATACATGGGAGGACATGAGCACACATTAGAAGAAATACCTGTGAATGACCTTTTCTTATATTAACTTTTTTTATGAGCATGGTTTAAACACTAACCAGCAGGTAATTTGTTCATGCACTTGCATGCTGAATAGTCTGAATCAAAGACATCAGTTTAGACATACCAGACATTGAGGAGGAAACTCGGACTTAAAAATTGTCTGGTTCAAATTGAAGCTAAAAAATCTGTCCACATCTACCCTAGGTAAAAGCCTTTAGTGAAAGCCCACTAGGAATTATTCCAATAGCAATGCTCATTTAACAGTACACTCTGCCATGCAGGTGGGACCTGTTAGGAGCAACAGCACACTGGAACATAAGCCTTGCATAATCAATATTTATTGCTTACAAATATTAATTTTACTTATGTCTTTGTAGCCAGCCCCATGCTCTACAAACCAGCATGGCAGGAAAGTAGTAAAAGTATTCACTAGCTATATTCTTCTTCCATTGCATAAAAACATCTCCAAACACCTAAATACATGCACTTATGATGATTTTTAAAATTAAACAGAACAAAATACCAACCAATTTATCACTTGATATAAAAGAAAACAAAACAGCGAGTGACTCCAGATGATGGATACACAAAAATGTCAACATGAGGCAAATTACAGTCTGAATGAGCAGCTCACAGAGTTGATTTGCCCAACGTACATGGTATTACTCTGTAGTAAACTTGATGTGAGCTTGCTTACCAACTAATAAAAGTGACTTACCCTGCAAATACAGGTGGGCAAAATCAAGTGCAGTTTATGCAGAGGTCAGAGCGGCTGGGAGCTGCTAACTACTCACAAAGTTACCCTGCAGTAACTCAGCAATGTGCTTGCATTCTGGACTCTGAAGCATAAGCAGCTCGAGGCACCAAAAAGCCTCTCCACTTATTAACAACAGGCAGTGTCTTGTAACACTGGGTGGTTATTTACAATTGAGGCTGGTTTTTTTTTTAAGGGAGCTAGTACAAGACCTGAGGAAAACTTAATTTTATAGGACCCAGATTTTTGCATATACCTGACACCTAAATAGCATCTTAAACGTCTCTGTATCCTTTCTTACTAATGTACTACACTAATTATTATTCTCATCTTTTCCCATGCAATATTCCATGCTATTTTTCATAAAGAAGAATACTGATTTACCTACTGTTCATTGTTTGTTGTTACTGGTAGCTTCCTTCCCCTAAGAGCACTTTTTGTGACATTTGTCTGGTATGCTGGCATTTAAAGAAACTGTGGTTCTACTCTGCAAAGCACTTAACTACTTAAATTTGGTTCTGCTGCAATCAGTGAAGTAAAGTACTTGTGTAAATGCTTTGCTGAACTAAGGCATAACTAAATATCATGAATTCTAAAAACCTAAATTTCCATTTTGTCTCTGAAAGCACAGTAGTTCTCTGAAAGGCCAAAATAAATCTTCTGTACATCCTACTACAGTGCATGATAAATATTTTTTACTTTTCTTCATATATATGTAAATGAAGGAATATAAATATATATATATATACATACCAAAAGATACAGATATTTAAGAATTAACACTGGCATGAAACAAAATATCTGGTGTTTGTTTTCTCACTTGCTCAACTATTCTTATTTTAATATGATTTTTCTAAAAATTAACATAGATATACACTATGAAAAACAGCCAAACATTTTATTTATTAACACTTATTCTACCTTTTAAGTAGGATATTTTAAGTATTGTAACTACAATTTAGGCTTTAGAGCAATATTGGGTATCAAACCACCCAGACACTTTCTGTATGCTTCTGTCTCAGATGGCAAGTTCTATCAGATCACTACCAGTTTCAAATTGTAAAGAATTTCTGTAGTATATCTATAGTTCCACTATTAATTCTGGTTGACTTTTGCCAGACCTGTGCTAAGTGTAGAACAAATAAAAATTTGCATTATTTTTAAGTCATGCTTCTGCAGTTTTTAAGACAAATATTTCTTTCAGAAATTAGGTAACAGCATTCTACTGGCAAGATTTGCAAAGCACACATGTTAATCTGTTCCATAAGGGTTTAGAATCTGTGATCAACCTTGGTTTCTTCCAGGACATTTTTATCTGTGGGAAGACAATGGGTCAAGCAGCAAAAGCTAAGCAGTTACTCCAATGTAAATTTATCAGTTATTCACCATCTGCAGTTATTTGCATTCAAAACTAGAAGCATGGAACACTAGAATCTAGTCCATGGATAACTTAAGAGATAATTTACTTGGGCAATGTCATGTCAGGGCTGCAGCAATGAAAAATGCAGAGGAAAGAAAAATAAAAATAAAACAATAAGAACTTGAATAAAACAGTTTGTAATGTCTATTTCTCCCTTTCTCCTCCTATTTCAATCCCAGGTTGTTTATTACTAAATACAGAGCAAGGGAAATCTGATGCACAGTAATGTAAATTCAAGTTTAATGATGCACTGAAAAATATCTTATTGTTACCATGACCAGTGTCTTTCTGGATATAACAGAATTTATAGGGTTCTAAAATAGACCCCTAAATCCATTATACTTTTCCTACAGAAAAGTAAAGACTGATTGCTAAGGACAACAGCAACAGCATTTTGGTGAAATACAGACCCCACTTGTCATTAGTGGTCAGAAACTAAATTAGATCTCCCAATATATTTTTGTGTATACATTCTAAACAATCTTCTTGCTATTTGACCCATGTAATTTCAGAAAATAGGCTGAACACCGGTAAGTTTGACAAAAGCTGCTGTAAAACAGACCGCTCTACAGCTCTGTTTCTGATATATTCCTAGATTAAAATAGCTGGTAATTTACATCCAAAGATGTAAAATAAACAACTCTTGAGGCATTCAAGTTGGAGGTAGAGCTCCTTCTGCAAAACTATGAATAACTTATTCACTGGCATCAACAGTAATTTCATCTAGATTGCAGTCTTTACACTGCACACACTGAAGGGATATTAAATACAACAGTATTAACTTCTACCTTTGTTATCAAGCAATACCTCTCACTCCTTGAAATTGAAAACAATAGCACAAAAATAAAAGTAAAGAAAGAACAACATGACCAAAATTAACTGCAAATCCAGAGGATGTGGATAACTGTTTGTGAGTCTACTGAAATGCTTAAATGAAAACCCCCGTAAGCCTTAAAAATACAGCTACATGGTAGCCCTACTTATAAAGCAAGAATGACATTTCTGATGCAAAAATATTAGACCACGCTCAGTGATATATATTACACACTTGTTCCAGGTTGGAGATCCATAAAGACTGTTTATTCTTTACCTTGTTCAGATACTTTTGAGAACTCAGATTAAAAGGGGGGAAATTGAGAGGGAGACAAATATCACATATTCAATATTTTACTATCAGTTGCTTGGTTTCATTTAGTGTTAATGCATATATGCTTTGGTGCTTACAAAGAGAGTTCCAAGGAACACTAGGTGTTATTAGATTGATAACTAACTCATATCCCCAGCAGGTGGCTCATAAATACTTAAACATATGCAGATTAGGTGGGAGAAGATGGTCTTCATTTGTGGTTTTAGGTCATACTGATATGATTTTCAAACAGAACTAAATAGATGTATCAGAAGGGGTAAAATTCTTAATGAAAGAAAGCACAAATAGTTTCTAGCCTGCTGGTAAGGTTAGAAATGTCACGGGTTGTTGTCATTGCCATGGAACAGAGAGTTCATCATTTCAAAAGCCTTTTCATATTCACAGGTACTCAGATAAGTGACCATTACCACGTGCAGCAAAAGGACAAACAAACACAATGTAGCTCATTCATTTTTGCCTCTCCTGTACACTTTTTTTTTTTTTTAAGTTTGCAGTCATCTGTTAACTGTATGATGGGAGTGGATCACTCCTTTGCTCACTGAAAAGACACTTCTATGTGCACCAAGAAGTATCATGTTTTTTGGGAAGCTACTTTCTCCAAATTTCCATAAACTCTGTATTCATTTGGGTGCCTGGCACACTATTAATGCAGGCACAGTTCTGTCAGAAACTGAAAGCAGAATCAAAAGGAAGATTCAAATGAAAAAAAAAAATAAAGTCTTTGATGATGTTTCTCCACACTTCTATTTTTAAGCAAGACAAAAAAAAAAAAAAAAGAGGTTAAAATTTAGTAAGTGAAACAGTGATATAATCAGCAAATTTATAACACTGACAAATTATATCAGCCTATCAATCATGAGTCATGATATGATCAAGGCAACTGACCTGATGTATCATTCAAAATACTTTAAAGAAAATTCATCATGTTCAGTAAATCACAGCTATTAAAATAAAAGAATTCCTAGCAAATTAACATTTTCAGACATCAAATATGATAGTCAATTTTTGTGTACAATTTATGCAATATGCCTGATATGTGCATACACATTGAAATAGCATGAACAGCTAAAGCACATTGAGCTTTGTAATGTCCAGCATAAGACTGCAAACAATTCATCTCTCTGCACATCTGGTTACAAAATTATACAGCAGGGAAGTCAGTGGTGTGCATAGTTCATACCTGTAGTTGGTGCTGCCTAAGGACAGACAAAAGCATCTCTAACTAGACAAGTGGGTTCCTTTAGGCACTAGCAGCATGTCTTCATTTAGTTTGATTTCAGTAAGCAAGCTTTCAACAGTGACTGCAGTGCAAGGTTATAATTACATCAGGAGTGGAAAGACACTGAAGCCTAGGTTCTGCAAAGACAGACATGTGCTTAGCTTTCTGCGCTGTAAGAAACCCCATTTATCTCCATGAAAACACTGCTCCCTGTGTACGCAAATACATGCATACATGGGGTGCAGGCTGGAATTTTATTTCAACCATTTAACTGTGCAGACTTGCCAATTTTGATCAAATTTTATCAGTCTACTAAAAATGAAAAATTGCTGTCACCCCTGGCTGAGACTAATGCTATGAACCCCTCATTGTTCTTGGCCCAGCAATAATTCTAGCCCAGAGTGACAGTTTTCATATCACTAAAACGACAGGTCGATGGAGTGATATTCACATTGGCACAGACGGCCAGAGAAAGGCCTAGTGCATGGCAATTGAGGTTTGATATGATCAGCTGTTACCAGAAGCTCACACTGGAGCTGCCATGGAAGAGGATGCAGTCACAGACGCAGAATAACCAATCTGTTAGACCTATACCAAATGACAGAAGGAGCAGAGAAGTAGGCTGCATAAAGTGACACACAATTTTAAGTCACACAGGACTCATCATTCCTACCCCAAATTGGTAGATGAGAGTATTCCACTAATGGAAGAAAACAGTCAAGCAAAACATAATAGGATAGGAGGTCATCAAGGAAGCAAACTGGCAACAGTCCTATTTTGTCTGTGCCAGAGCTCTGCTGCTGCTGTGACACTGAATTCACTTCAGGCTAACTAACATTCATGAGCCTGAAGTAACAATTACATCAGCCCCTTCCTGTATCCACCGGGGTCTATTGCAAATCCATCTCTTCAGGTTTCCTCCTTTACCCTAAATGGACTTTCGATACCACACTGCCTATTCTCCTTCCTTTTTCTTTATGCAAATGCAAGTACCTGGGAGGTTCCCATGCATGGAGATCAAGGGGAGAACCCTGGGCATCAAAATGTTTATCGATAGAAGCAAGAAACGACACCATGTTGCCTATAGCCCTATGGCTTATGACGCTTCCATCAGTTCAGAAAAGTGCTCACATTTTAAATAAAATATCCTGCCAATATTCTGAATATCCTGCCAATCATGTTGATTCTTACTGCTGAGCTTCTGCCTACACCTTCCCTCGCACATGTGCTGCACAATGCACAAGCACCATGCACATCCCGTAGCCTTCCCATGAAGGCAAGTTACTCCATCCTTCTGTGAGGAAA